TTGGAAAACAACCCACCTCTTACACACACACACACCCCGAGGGCTCCAGAGGCCAGCCGGCGACCTGGTGTGTGTGTGTGTGTGTGTGTGTGTGTGTGTGTGTGTGTGTGTGTGTGTGTGTGTGTGTGTGTGTGTGTGTGTGTGTGTGTGTGTGTGTGTGTGTGTGTGTGTGTGTGTGTGCATGCCACAGTAAAAAGAGGAAGTGTACAGGAGCTGTGAAAACAGTTCAGGTCAACAGTTTGGGCCTAGACAGGTCGACCGGGAGAGAAAAAGAAACCGACATTTGCAAAGGTGAAGGATAACAGTGTTTTATTTACAAACAGAAATGTAGCTCACTGGACATTTAGGTGGTTATTCCCAGCAACTATGATGAACGTGAACGGCAGAAAATGTGTCTGCCGTCCAAACGTCAGGTTTAAAAGTCCAGTTCCCCTTAAAAAAATGAAATAACGGTTGCTTTTCAGTCGTCCTTTTGCATTGTCTTTCAAGAGAAATGCTGTCGTTCTACAACTACAGGATCAAACCGTGGACCAGAATGCATTGCAGCTGCAACAAAATATCCTTATTAAGCAAAACCCCGAAAACACAAATCTCCAAAAAGCACAGCGTAGATAAAATAATGTCAACACCTCATGAAAAGGGCTCAACATCTGAAGTAGCTTAAGCTCAGTGACAAACTACAGCCACAGAGCCGGGAAGAATGCTAATTAGCAGCATCTATAAAAGCAGTCTGGCAATCAAGAGTTCTCAAAGAAACATGAAGCAGCAGAGAGGCTGGAGCATCTGTGCTCAATTTGGGCCGAGTTCACACAGAGAGACGTTAAGATGTGAGGAAGCAGAAGGAGATGCAGTAGACAGAAAAGTCAAATGACCGTTTAAACTTTTATATGTTGCATCAAAAAAGACAAATAACGTCGATGGATGATTCTGAAAGAATTCATGACGACATTTTCTACGTCCGTTGGCATCATTGTAAATATTCCCACTTCCTCCGATACGTTTGGAATGATGGCGGTTGAATGAACGACGGTTAGGGTTAGGGATCGTCGTGGTTACGGCTAATAAAAAAGCAAACGTTTATTTCAGGCTTGTCACAGGAGATTACATTCGGTCTCGTCCACACCCTCACTTTCCACACATTTTTAGGTAAACCGTGAAGTGTGTAATTGTCAAATATGGGCGTCATTATTGGCGATACTTGACTAAACTAAAATATGGTAGAAATAAAACACATTGCAGCAAAGTGCATTTCTCATAGATTGATGAAGTGTTTTCATTATTTACGGTAGTCAAAAAGACACAAGGCAGAAAGGAGACAGTTCATTGTTTCAATATAACATTACTGTATACTTACTTGAACTTTCTTCCTATGGTATTGCACTGATTTTAAGGATTCAAGGATTTACAGACAGAGTTCATTTCTGCCTCATAAAGACTAGCGGGTATTAATCACCAAAACCTAGTGTTTGAACGACTTGCAGCTGAGCAGCTCTTCGATTCTGTTACTTACATGTTATTGTATTAAACGTCTTCACTGGCCACAGATTGAACCAGGATCTCTGAGGATGCAGCTTTAGTGGGAAGCTGAGAAATATGAAGTGCACACACTGCTGTGAGAGGTGCTCAAATTAGTCCCAGAAAGAGCTCTGCATTCACACACTTACTGTACATATCTGAACACACACTCTCTCTCAAACACACACACACACACACACACACACGGAGGCTTTCCAGTAGTGTACGGGTTACAGTAGCTCCTAATGTGAATTCCCTTCTGAATAAAAAGGAAAAAATTAAGAGGAAAGTTTGCTTACACATATAATTTAAAAAAAAGCACTCGAAGAAAATACAGAAACGAGAGACATGTGGGACTAAAGTGTTTTACAGCAGCTCATAGTACTGCTTCTTTGGCGCGTATGTTTACATATCACCCGTGTGTGTGTGTGTGTGTGTGGTTCATAGTCGTACATATCTCTTTCCCCAGGAGTAAACTGGGGTCAAACCAGTTAGTGTTGTCACGGCAATTTGCAGTTAGGCCTCTGTGTGTGTGTTTGCACAGTTTTTTTTGTACGTTTTTATGAATTTGCAGTCAAACAAGCAAGTGTGTTTTTACTGTATGTGTGTGTGTGTGTGTGAATGATGTGTTTGTCTGCCAGTGTGTGTGTGTGTGTGTGTGTAACACAGTAAGCTGCCCTCAGGCTGATGTATATTCTTTTCACTCAAACAGCCCATTTACAGTTCTGGGGTCGGCTCCCTCTCGCTCTGCCGTGACCCGGACCGTTTAGAGGTCAGCGTCAAAGCTGAACTCGGGTCAGAACGCTAACTGACTCCAGCTCCGCTCCTCTGGGGTTTACTGACAGCCAGGCTGCTCAAACTGTGGCGAGAGGGCCCGGAGATGGGCTGTACGGCTTCTTCTAGTGGGTCCGAGTTGAACAATTGAGCTAAAATGTTTTTCTGAATGCTATTCAGCGAGAAATCTGGACAACTTGTAAAGAGTAGCAAGTCAAGTTTAGCATCCGCTGCTAGACGCTCATTCCTTTGATAATTCTGTGCTCCATTTCCTCAATATCAGCTGTCCTTGTTGGTCTTCCCCTCTGATAGCATCGACCAAGGATGTCATAGTTGTGATAATAGTCAAGATAACATAAAAACACATTTCAACAAAACTCGTTGAAAGGCTGAAGATGGGTGAAGGACGAACCCATCACAATGTTGGAGCAGATTTGAGTAAAGAGGGCGAATACACAAATGATTCTTGGGATGTCATGGCCTTGTTGTGCCTTGGCTTCCTTTCTTGAGTTGTCTGTAAATACAAGTGGAGTTCCTGTCCCCTGCTATCGTTCATTTGGTACTTTTTGATAGACGTATAAACGGAGGCTGAAATCGATCAGGGAACACATCTAAATCTGATCCTATATTCCTCCTGATGACATATTACATGTACTGTACTTGAAGTTGTTTGGAGAACCTTTGTCCTGACCTCTTCATTGGTCGATGTTAAAATCTGAACTCAGATCAGGTCCTGAAGGCATGCCGAATCAGCTTTCATTGAATTAACCTGGTGTTTATACGGGGCTTCTTAAACATCTGCAGTTTTGTCCTCGATGGGAACATCAGTAACTTTTAGCATGTGGGGGCTCAGCAGAAAATGTCTGTTTGGGCCCCAAACCACAGAGAGAGAAAATACTTTCTGAGAGCTTTTAGAGGTGAAGATCAAAGCTGGGGAGAAGGTCAGATCCTAAAGGCTCCTTTAAATTAATAGCAAGCGTTAAAAATCAGTCGTAAGAATTGCTGCAGAGCTTAAACTTGAAAGGTTTTGGTCACTTTTCTGTCTGGTTCGCAAAATGCCGTTGGCGTCATTTGGCGGCTTGTAGAGCGAGTTTTAGTAATGGGGAGAAAGAAGAGAATGATGATGAATGTCTAGCTTTACAAAGCATCCTTAAAAAGGAACAGAAAGCAAAAGCAAGCAGGCGATACATCAGACCTCGGAGAAGTCCTTCTTTTACACAATTCTGGCACGTTTTTCCTGATTCCAATTGAGCAAAAGAAACAAATCAAGACAACAAATCATTAAGGAGATGATTGGGATCTCCATTTACTGAAGGGATAAGAAAAGTGTTTCTCTAACGTCAGCTGAAGTGTTTGGGGATTTCCTCTCACACCTTTTCTCTGCTGGTAAAGGGAAATTCCACCTTTCAGCAAAACTCATATCATTTCCTTAAAGTCTTACTGAACCCAAGCATCCTTTACAAGCCACCTTCTTAAAGCTTCCAAGATTTAATTGTGTATCTTCTTGCGTAAATACAGACCTTTATGAAGTGACTAAGCCGTATGAATGACAGTAAATGGTATCAAACTTTGTGGGATTAACCGTATTGTTGTAATACAGTATGTATCCACATTCGCCGGCCAATTACCTCACCAAGATAGATGCCGCCTATCATAGTGCTCTAAGGTTTGTGACAGACTGTAAGACTATGACTCATCATTGTACCCTGTATACAAGGGCAGGGTTGCTTTCACTTACTGTACGGCGGCTAAATCACTGGTATCTTTTTATTTATAAAGCAATGTTAGGGAAACTTCCGTCTTACATCTGTTCCCTGATCTCACAGCGTATTGTAAATGGCTACTGCCTGAGATCTAAAGCTGTGGTTGTATTACATGTGCCAACTGCTAGGACTGTATTAGGAAATACAGCTTTTAGATGCGCAGCGCCGCTAGCATGGAACAGTCTACAAAAAGGAATGGAAGCTAAGCAGTTTGATTCCATTTCATGTTTTTAAAGCTAGGATAGACGCTATACAATCAGAAAATATTGGTGTCTGTAAATGCTACTAGTATACAAACTGTAGTATCATATAATGTCCTTTGTTTTCTGTCATGTTTGTATTAATGTTTGGAACTAATTGAAGCAGGTCACCATTGTAAAAGAGGTCTATGATCTCAATGGGTTTTATCTGTATAAATAAAGGTTTTGAATTTAATTGAATTCATGGTAATATTTGTACTGTATATTCAACAAAAAAACAAAAAATGTCTTCATATTAATAATAAATCATGTGTCCGAAAGGGAGTAGGAGGAAGGAAATGCTTATTAATTCCCACCCCTTACTTGATCAATGATTGTCCTTTAAATCGTTATGCAAGTTATTCCTACTTACATTAAACGTGTAGATCTGAATACCAGAAATCAATTGACGATGAAGCAACTTTTGGTATCGATAATTAATCCTCCCACACTCACACTTAGTAGAGTCGTAATCAAACCCTCAATCTCTTTAACAAATAGTATGTTTTCATTCAAAACGATTTTAACGTCTATCGTTTTGGTTTCCATTAATAATTCGTCCATTAGTCTTTTATCCAGATAACCTTTCTACCCTCTTCACGTTAATATGTATTCAGTTGAAACTGTCTCCGAAAGTTATTTTTACCCCACATCTCTTGAATAATCCACAACTTCTTTGTACTCGTTGAAACCCTTTCAACTCAACGAT